CGACCCAAACCTAGCTAAAAGCACATCACTAGCTTACATCCATCAAAAATGGCCAAATTGGTGTCACATATACACAGACGGATCCGCTGATCCGATCACAAATCACACAGGTTTCGGAGTCCATATAGCCCAACCAGTCAAAAATACTCAATCCTTCCGACTCCCAAACAACCAATCTATATTCACCGCAGAGCTCATGGGTATCGCCACGGCGCTCCACAGCCATCACACCAAAAACCAAAAAAAAATCTTAATACTCTCAGACTCACTAAGCGGACTTCAGGCCCTCCAAAACAAAAACACCAAAAACCGCCCCAAATTAATAAACCAAATTCTCAAAAGCGTAAACAAACTAACAGAGGCAGGCAAAAACATACAACTTATCTGGATACCAGCTCACGTAGGAATTTACGGGAATGAAAACGCAGACAGAGCCGCAAAACAATCCCTAAAAATACCAGACATAAGCCTTAAGCTACCAATATCTAAAGCAGAAATCAAAAGTATAAACAAACGTAAAATCACCCAAAAATGGCATAACCTCTATCAAAACACAAAAACCCAAATCCTAAAAACCCTCAAAAAACCCCTCACCAAACCAAAAATCCTCCATCCCTCCAAAAAAATCGATAGAATAATCACCAAACTCCAAACAGGACACACCAAACTAAATAACCACCTTCTAAAACTAAAAAAACACGCAAACGGGAAGTGCCCACACTGCACTCACCCAGAAACAATAGACCACGTACTACTACATTGCACCCACTACCTCACACAACGTACAACATTACAAACCAACCTAAATCCAAATAACGCTCTTACCTTAGAAGCAATCCTTAACCCCCAAAATAAAATAGAAAACTTCAAAGCCCTAGGCATTTACCTAACCAAAACAGAACTAATTAACCGTATTTAAAACTTCACTAAACCACCAACACTAAACATCCAAAAAACATCAACTCACCCCCACACACTCCCTTAGTCCCAACCACTCCCCCAAGGCATGTATTCCAAATCTCAAAATTTCAAAACTTTATATAAGCAACCACTAAACCCCCCTCCTTGGTTGCACTCCTCTCGCTACCACTTTTATACCACTAAATGGCCCGGCCGGGCCCGTGTGCGAAATACGCTCCAGTCGGAAAGCGCACGTAAAATCTCCTAATATAAGTAAGTAAGTAAGGTTTTAAGCAGAGAAGGGGTTTGACTCTTTTACCAAGCAGACCTCTCTCCCACAGCCCAGAGTGTGTACCGACTCTCTGTGGCACCCTCAGTTATATTCTAAGATATTGTAAATTGTTAATTGTTCTTGTAAATAAAATTGTGATTAGTCTCCTGTGACTGTGGCTCTTTGCTGACTAATTCCCCAAGAAAACCAGCACGTCATTTGGAAGGTATTGTTCACCCAGAACAGTTCCATGATAGTATTACACACAGTATATGTCTCATGAAATAAACTTAAAATTCCTTAACACATGACAAGGAGTATATTTCAAGCCATGGACAAATTTTGAAACAAACAGTTTACATGTAGTACAAAATATATATCATGTTTTACCATTATATATTCGTAAGCAGCCAACTGTGTTTAAATGTTTACATAATTCCGCACAAAGTGTGATCACAAATATGAACATTATAGTATGCAAGTATGTCATGCTCAATATGGCAATCTGAACAATGAAATGCCATGTACTGTATGACCCAATGACAGAACATACCGGTACGAACATACCTTGAAACAACTATGTAAATATCCAAACAGTGATCCATTGAAATCTGTATATTATGAAAGAGTTTTTATGTTTTTCATATGTCAACAGCCACACACATGGTAACAATCTATGCATGATGGTCACACGACTTCCACACATTTTGCATGATATTCTTCCCTCTTTCAAACCGATAAGACTTTAACTAGGTCCCTATAATTTTGTATGCACTACACACAAATGAATACACTGAATTCTTCACAATAGAAAATATAAGAACGTTATGGCAGTTTTACCAAAGTATTCGCAGAGGAAATACTTGGCCTTTCATAATTTGTGGGTCACATGTTCCAACATACATATGGTTTCATTTCGGATAGAACAGTATATAAATAGGTAATGACCAGTGGATAGTGATGATCTAATCACCAACCTGAGACTAGACACCTATAATTATATAAACATGCATAAACAAAGCTTGGGATAAAGTTTTCTAATTGCTGGACTTGTTTGATCTGAAAGACCTGTGACAGGACTTCAATTATGATGAAAAATGGTACACATGCTGTCAACCTACACTTATAAAGCAAGCCCGAATTGAGTATTTTTCTGATTTCACATGATTTAATATCATCAGTAAATACTTGCGATATTCTACCAAGCATTAACTCAGGTCATTCTCTTATCTCTATGTCTCTTCAGGGGTAAAACTATTTACTTGTCTTGTACTAAGAAAAAACTTCTGAAGATAAATGAAAAAGAATTAGAAACTACATTAGCAACATTAGAAAAACAAATGGATTTGATTTTGAAGGGGAAAAAACTGTGAAAAATAACTTTGGTGAAATAAACAATCATTGAATTCACAGTATGTTGATCAGATCTAGGGCTAAATGGATTTAACATGGAGAAAAGCCAACCAAATATTTTCTGAAATTAGAATCTAATTTTTCTAATCTATTCACTGAATTGGAAAAACAAGATGACTCTGTTCTATGTAACAGCAAAAAAATACTTAACAAAACGAAATTGTTTTACGAAAAGCTGTACACAGCACAAGATGCAACACCAATTGATTTATATTTTAAAGACATTAATGTACCAAATTAACTGAAAATGAAATTGCCACCTAAGAAGGAGAGTTAACCAATAGATAATTATCAAAAGCATTGAAACATTATCAGAATGAAAAAAGCCCAGGACCGGGTAATTTTACAACAGAGTTTTTGAAAATATTCTGGAAAGACTTTGGAGAGTTTTTACTGAAATCAATCAATTGTGGCTGCAAAAGAGTAAATTTCACAGAAGCAGGTAAATAACATGCATTCCCAAAGGATATAAACTTAAAAATATCTGAAAAATTGGCGCCCTATTTCTCTTTTAAATACTTTATATGAAGCTGGTGCTGCAGCCATTGCAAATAGAATAAAAAAGATATTACCTGGTATGATAAGTGAAGACCAAAAAGGTTTTGTTGTTGGTAGGTATATTGGAGAAGTAAAATAAAACGTGATGTTTATGATGTTGAATCCTGAACACAGGGAATTATAGCCCCTTATATTAAGTAAATAATAGCATCACAGAAGTTGAGATGGGTAAGCCAATTAAATAAAGGCAATCAAAAGTGGAGTTCTTCTCAAACAGACTGACCAGTAAATGGTCGATATGGCCTGCAGACAGTTATTACATAAATAAAAAAAATATCCCAGTCAATAACAAATGCATTCTGGAAAGATGTCCTTTTAGCTTGGTCGAAGTTTATTATCAAACTTGAAACTCCAAATTTCTGATCAAGACATTCAAGCATGAATGAAAATGCTGTAATATGAATATAAAATTTATTTATTTTTAAATCTTGGGTAACCAAGGCTACCCATTCAATCTTCTGTATGTCAGTTCTACTGGGCTTGTGTAGATTGTGGTCATAAGTTCTTTTAGGCATCATCATTTCCATTCAACTTGCAATGGACATTGATGTTGTTGATGTTGCAAAATATTTCAGAAACTGCATTAACAATTTGGTGATATACATTTGTACTTTAAATTATTTGTTTTTGTTTTGTTTGTTGTTTAACATCATAGTCATCAATAATCCTTCTAATATCATGTAGGCCTGTATATATAATCAAGTTTGGTCCAGATTAAACCAGTGATTGATATTATGAGTAACACCCCACACTGTAGGGGTACGATGACACACCCAGAGACAACCAAGACATGTTAAATTGCTGACAATGCTGTAATGTGGTATTTGTTTTTTGTTGTCGCAAGAGACATGTCATAGGGGAACGACCATGTAATCAGCTTGTCGGATGTACACCTCAAAGACTTCCTGGATCACACCACATCATTAGAGATGGAACAACCCAAGAAAGCCTCACTACAGGGATGAGGTGAGAAACCACTTCTAATTCCTCACTTTGTATCTAAGTCCAGGTCATCAATGACCAGCGAAGAGACGCCTGTAGTAGGTGATGGCCGGGTCAGCACAGCTGTATTTAAGGTCTTCCAGGGGGAAACCCCTTCCAGAACATGTACTATTGTTACAGTGGGTTTCAGCCAATGCCCGCATTTTGTCAACATTGATTGACCATAGAAATGCAGGAATTGCTGAAACTAAGGACTTTGAGTACACAGCCCAGACTGGGGATGTGTCAAACATATATACTAATCCCATCAGTTATGCTTCTTGACAACACACACAGATTGAGACAAGCCAAGACCCAGGCTGGAGTGAAATATCATTCCATGACCTATTCTACTGTATAGAAAAGAGAACATCTTGAAAAGCAAACTCATCATTTCAGAGGCCCTTTCCAGCTCTCAGATTGAAAATTGTCCGACAGATATCGGCATTCCATCCTTGCTTATTAAGCTATGTGGTGATTGGTGCCCCAATGCATATGAGCACTATGTTACAGTGTATGATTCAATGTGTGAAAAACTTTCACCAGGTTATCCTCTTGTTGTTGTTTTTAGGTCTTATGTTTGCGATTAAACATTTGTCATATTTCAAAGAGATCATACCATGCTCTCACATCAAACAGACCACATTACTCAGCCAATTAACAGCCACACTTTCCTTGATGGCTAAAGCTTTCAATGCATAGAATGTAACACTCACTGTAAATGTACACGGTGAGCAAAGGTGTCTTGGAGCTATTCTTCATTTATCTATAATGTTGGGTCCTCATGGACAGTGGCAAGAAAGATACATATGAACAGATGTAGATTGAAAACAAAGTTTGTATATGAAGGAATTGGTTAATGAACAAAATATCTTACCCTAGGTATGTTCGGGATGACTTGAGATAAATTTGCATAGGCTTCAGCTTTGTCAGCAAAGTCCTTTCTATCATATGTATCAAGGTGTTGAAGACTTGCCACAACAGGATCTTGGAAATACCGAAGCTGAGGAGAAAGAAGATTAGTAATCATTAGTTACTCTTTGATCTCAGTATCCAGTGACTGTCACTTTTAGTCCATCTTTGGATTACTCCAATTCTTCCCAGCAGGCCCATGGTATTACCATATATTGACCATTCTAATTAAGCCCTTGCATCCATATACATGTTTTTAATTAAAAATTACAGCATCTGGCTTATCAAAATCAGAACCTTGACATATTAATTTGATTTGGTTTAAATTTAATTGTTTTTAGATTTCAAGAGATTGCCTTAACCTGTAGCTAATGTTTTTCTTTACTCCAGCTACTGTATCTGTTTTACAATCGTGAATAGAAAAGTTTGTTGCCTAATAGTTATTGCAAATGAGGATTCAACACATGTATGAAGAATATCATCTCTTGGAACATAACACCAAGTTACATACATCAGTATGTGTTTTCGAAAAGTCAACTAGAAAAATTGACAGGGGTGAGAGAAACTGGAAAATGAAAATTCAGAAATCTAAAAAATGAGCTGTGATGAAGTACACTACTCAAAGTTTGCTACCAGGTCAAGTTTTTATGACATAAAAAAATCACCCAACAAATAAAGATTGAAATATCCTGGTACACAATGATTGGGTAATCCCCACAGAATCGCAATTTCATTATGAATGGACAGAGGCATGCACAAGGTGCTTGAAAACCTGTGTTTAGATGTATTGTGACAGAATCGTTGCTCATCATTATCAGAGATAACAACAGCATTTAACAGCGTTCCACAACACAGCGGAAGGACAGGTTTCTCCTGACTGCAGTAAGACGGCATCACTTGTTGACTGTCACCACTCAGCAAAATGACCAGCAGAATGCCAGTTGCATTAACATTTCTACTCAAACAGTCCATAATCATCTCAGTGAGGCTGGTCTCCATTCAAGGAGGCTAGGGCAAGCATTTGCATCCCACTGACCCAACATCACAGGTAGGATTGGGCTGAAGATCACGTCGATTGGACAGGACCGGGACTGGGCTCAAGTACTTTTCATTAATAAATCGAAATATTGTCTTGACTTCACAGATAATTGTGCCCGAGTGTGGTATAGACGAGGAGGAATATTTCATGATTCCAACACATCCGACTATGACCGCTATGAAGGTGGCTCAATCATGATATGGGGTTGGATCAGTGGAGATTGAAGAACCAATCTCCATGTCCCACAGCAGGGCATGATGACAGATGTTGGCTACTGTGGAAGACATTTTGGATGTGTTCTGGAAGCCGTATGCTGGTGCAATCAGACCGGACGTCATCCTTTAGATGATAGTGCAAGTCCGTGATCGCTTCACGCTGATCACATGCATGCTACTGAAAGTTGTTTTTTTTTTAAATGAATTTGTTTTCAAAATTTTCTTACGTATCAGTTATGGTTGCATACTCTCATTTTGACGTGTGATCTGACTGATTATTGGTCACATGTTGTTTGTTGGCATTGTTTGGCACATGACAACAACCTTTATATCATTAAACATGTTTACAAGTCTTTGGCTTTTTCAACACAACTTGACATATTACCTTATAAGGTGGTAACCTTTTGCAAAGTTCGAGTAGTATACCTGCAGTGAAAGGACATGTCACCAAAGGAAATAAACAAGGATATATGAAAATCACACTTGGGAATGAATGTCCTTCATATTCAACTGTAAATGTATGGGCTGCTGAAAAATATCATGCATTAAGCTAGCTAAATACAATGGGATCACATAAATATTATCCAAATAGAATAATAGTATTATACTGAATCTAAACTGAACATGTTTAGATCAATGTTTACTTTTTCAATGTGCATATGGTTGTAAATAGATGTGTGACCCAAAGAATGCTGACCGCCAATCAAATTCTACAATCCCTGTTTGGAGTTTGCAGCACTGTCTAGCAAGGTATTTTTAAACATGCAGGGATTTACTGGTAGAAACACACTGTCAAAGTAACAATGTTTGATTGCTATTTGGTTGCGATTTAGAAAAATATTAGATTAATTCCTTTGTATATTCATAAATCTTTGTGTGCAAGACACACATAAATGAAATTCTGATGCATGTTTGGCAATTTTCATTTGTGCTTCATGCATGAGACGTGACCAATGTGTATCCTGCTCGGACCACACATAGAATCCATTTGTCAGATGTGATGCAATTCAAAATCCTGGTGAATGGCATCAAATGTACTGCCACTTGTCAGTTTGAATTTCATTAGGTGAGAATTAAGTCTATAAACAAAGCCAGGTCGATTGGGTTTTGTCCAATTGTTGGGGTTGGACATGACATGACGAGATGCCTTGCCTAATGGTACAAAATTCCTGAACGGTCAGTAAACAAATCAGGTGCCACAGTGGTCAGGCTTATCACCGTTTTAACTTAGGAGAGAAGATGTTGTCTTTGCACTCATGTCAGTTGTGATCACATTCACATTTGGGCAGTAAAAGAGACCTTTAAGTAACTCTTTCTGCAGCCTCTTCTTGTGATCAAGCAAGCCATGCTTCGATACACGTCTTCCCAAGGTATTCCAACATAAGATTCCAAAGGTGAAACAATGTGTCATAAACCAGCCACAAACCAGTTTATGTGTGCTCAAACATCCAAGGCAGGACGATTTGTCCAATCCAAGTTCCGCAGCCTTGTGAAGGGACAGCCGATGACCGTCAATGCCCCAAAGTGGCAGTGTCGTGCAGTAATCTAAATGTGACGTCACTATCTGTACAGTGACCATGGTGAACACCACTGTCTGAGAGAGGTCTGTGTTGTCCAATCCCACTAACTCGGCAAAGAACAGACCCCTCTATGAAGCCATGCGACAGGGCTGGCTACCTCGATCTGCATGCTGGTGTGGCATCTGCTCCTTCCTCAAGCTCTAAATTTCTGTGGAGAAAGCCTGAAAGTGTTTCTCAAACATGGTGAACATGTCCTGTTGACACTTCATCATGTCCTCTAACATGGCCAACTTAATCTGCAGAGTATTCTAGCAGGGAGCATCAGATATAGAAAGAGACCTGGATCCCTTCAGCTTCTCAGGAAGATCGCCACAGTCAATGGTCTGAGGAGACATGCTGGACACTTTCTTCTTGGCTGCCTTCTACCTCTTAGCCATAGGCCAAGGCTTCTTCATAAAGTTTTCACTAGCGAGAGATGAGCCCACAGAACATCTGGACTCCTGCGTACAGAAGGCCTGGTACTTTAAACAGGAAGTGTGAGAATACCCCGACACTTTTTTGTACCTACATGCAGAGTAGAAAGGTGGTGTAGGGAATGCAATCTTGCTCACCACCACACTACAACTACTCAACAAACTGTCAGTGAAGAACAATCTAGTAGACTAGATATAATTAAACAAAGGTTATATTTGGGATAACACTTTTTCAGTAGCTCTAGTACTTTTTGGAGTTGACCCCCTCCGGGTATTAATATATTGAACAAAAATACTATGTACATGTTCATCCAAATAAGTACAAGTTTATCTCTCTTGTCACATATAAGCAAAACGATTATACAAAATCTATCTCTATTCATATATCATGCCATGGTATTAAGAAATGAATCCTTGTAAAACATTTAACTGCTTCCACAGTGTCAAGTATTCTGTACTATGGGCCTGTGGCCTTGCAGTTATATATGAATAAACTGAATTGAAACAGAGGAGGTTGTATAACTAGCCTCTTATTTCTAATTCAGGTGCTCATGGGGATGCAGTGGTGTGCCCTTAATCCCTACTTTCACAGTAACAACAGCCTGATTAGTACCATCGGCATTGGAATGAATGCTATCAATGTTGCTGGCTGCAATCAGATGTATCCATGCTGCCAATAACGGCAACATTGTCAATGAGAAAGTGTGAATCACTTGAATAAGAGTGTTCATCTGTCACAACCTCACTGACTCTTGCTGAGTGACACACAATCTTGAAATGATTCTACTTTCCACAACTGTCGCATTTTCTACCTTTGACAGGACATGGTTCATGCTTAGAATGTGATCTACCACAGTTTCTACACTGACTATGTATCTACCATCACTGTTTGATGATGTCCTATTAAGTGTGTTGTAAGCTTTTACAGGCAGTGATTTCTGCAGGGTGCCATGATACTTTCTGTGTCGATGGGAATTATCACTGGCTGAAACTGTATGCACTTTGTTTTAAGCTGTTCCTGAGAATAATCCAAACTTTGTCCCATTGGAATTGCCTTCTTGAATGAATGTTAATGTTTGCTGCTGTCCTTTTGTGTCCATTCATATGCTCTCAGTTTTCCTGAGGCGTCTGTTCTTACATACACCCCTGTTCTCAGGAAAAGTGCCTGAGACACCCCTAATCAAAATCAACCAATCAATAGATGTACTTGATGCGTTAATAACCAGTGGATCTTCCTGTTGAAATGAGACGAGTGCAATGTTGAGATCTACTGTCCTTTAGGATATCCCAAAATTTATTTAATACAATGAGTAACCAAATTCTATTCCAAACTAATCAATAGTGATGGAAGACTTCCATGAGACTGCAGTACGCATGCACAGGTCAGTCTTTTAAAGTGTAACCCATAAAGCAGTAGGGGTGGGTGAAGTGAAGGGCACATAATCTTTCCATTACTTTTTATTGACTTATAATATCCTACTCAAACTTCAACTTACTGGTAAGTCTGATTTAACTTATTAATTCTATCATTCACACATGGGATCTCGTGATTCTGTGAGACTTCAAAGAGGCTTTCACTAACACCAACATTTAAAAAAACCAAAAATCTGCTAACCCAATAACACTTTATCATGTTTAGTGATCCAAAATTGTTTTATCAAATGTGTTGTGTTTCAACAGTTCCCACTAATGATACACAGCAAATGTCCTCTCTAGGACCAGTCTGCTTTGTTTTGAATGTTCTGAATTGTAACGGCAACTGCGAAGCTGCAGACACTGCTACAACCCTCATTTTACGTGGCTTAAACTTACTGGTATCTATTCCAGCCTGTTGTACTAAACAG